TGCTGAACACAACCCAGGTGCTGACAATACACAGGTTGTGTTCCAAACATCTTTGGACAGGACCCTTTGATAATTTCCAGGTTCAACTACCAAAGGCTCAACTGACAGTTTTAGAGGACCTACATTAGCTGCAAGATCCCATAAGGCACAACACTGACCCTCCTCTTCTTGGCATGCCAGAACCTTGGTCAAATCTTGGCTATTCTGGATGATTCATAATAATTAAATAAAACCACAGAAGCAGAACAACAGGTGACCAGTGTTCCAAAATTAAGGGCCTGGTTTACTTGATACTATACTCTTCTACCTAATTTTCCTAAGTTACATTCAGATACCCACGCTTCTTCCAAACAGCAATAATGAGAAGCACTCTCCATTCCCTTTTGGAGGAGGACTTTTTGTTGTTTTAAGTGCAGTGCAAACTTACGGCATCGCTTTGAGGCTGTGAGACCACAACAGGCTGTCCCGAGTCACACGTCTCCCGTATATTAACATGCAGTGGAATGTCTCCTGTATCAAAAATACCAAGATACACATACGTGAAGGCCTAATATAGATATTAAATGTTTCCAGTAAAAGAGCCCTAAAGCAACTTGAAATCAAGTTCCAGTTTGGTATACTCTTTGAATTACTTAATCTCAAAAAATCAGCATTTAAAATGAAAATTGGCTGCAGTACTTCAGTACATCCATTGTCATTAATTATATACATATTCTGGATATTTCACTCTTGGGAGTAGGAATGACTATGCTTTTCAGTCATTTATTAGAGAGGGAGGGCAGCTTGGCTTTTTTCCCCCCAATACAAGGAAAAACACAGGCTGAAATACAAATTATTTTGCATATTTAAAAAAAACCTTGCTTGAGCGTTTGGCAAATGCTCATCATGCAACTTACTGTTCAGCCTATGCCCTCATTGTATATTCTTTACAGTGCCATTTAAAGACTTTAATCACTGTTCAAAGACTTCTTTGAATACTTCATTTCCCAATAACAGCATTTGTTATTGTCCTTATTAAGCCTTGCACCCAATTAAAAAGGTAGACAACTGTTCAGTTCATTCTTCTTTCCAATATAAATCTTCTTTATATTCTGCTTTTATACCAAGCAGGGGAACTGTCAGAGAGGAAATGAATGCTCTAAAGAACAATCAATTAGCAACCCTATTTCATTCTGAAACGTACTTTCCCAAATACAGTTTTTCAGCACTAAAGAAAACCTGAAGTTCCCAGGTTTAGTTCATTGCTACAGAAATAATTATGAACTGAAGACCAACTTTGCTTTAATGAAAGATACTGCTACATTTCACATCACGGACTCATGTCGTCAGAACAGCCTACCTTAGTTCAAACTCGACTGGGCCCTGCAACTGTATCAGTCTAATTCATGCACTTGAGCCACCTAAACCATGGCCAGTGCAAGTTACTAAAATCCAATATAGTCAGAATAAAAACATTTTTAAAAAAGTATGAAAATTGACACAGCATAAGAGAAAAAAAAAACAAAAACAGAACTGAAAGCAAGCAGGAATACAAACAAAAAACCAAAACACAAACGCTGCAGCTCTGTGATTAGTGAGCTGAATCTTTGCAGAAGTTCAGTTTCTTACGTATTATGATTATAGTCCATTTCCTTCAAATGTAACTGTTTCTTACCTGTTTCAGTCATTAATAAATTTCTTTAAGCATAAGTGTCTGCTCATTTATTCACTAAAAAAATGTATTTTTTTGACAATTTTTTAACCTTAAACATTCTTAATAGAATAGTAACTTCATAAATCTCCCAGAAGTTAGCTTCTACAACTATTTTATGTGGAGACTAATCTTTTTTTAACCCAGGGATATTTTGTTAATAAAAGAAATACTTCTTCACTATCAGCTTAATAACAATCTCAGAGAATTACAAGAAGAACTTCCCTACTAGAAAATGACAGCCACTCTCTTTTTCTTCCTCTTGCTTAGATGGATGTGTTGGTACTACAGAAGCGTAACAGGACTTGTATGAGCAGAAATGCAAGTCAGAAGAGAAGGCAACAAAAAAAAAAAAAAACCAACTTTATAAATTAAGCAGAAGCATCTGCACAGCTGTTTGGGTGATAAGGGTTTGAGGAAGATTAAATTTTTGCACTTTTCTTCAGTACAGAATGTGATGGGAGTAACAACTTTGCCTTTGTACGTTTTTCTGATATTAATAATTATTGACTGTTGAGAAAGGGTATGTACTGACAATCATTTGAATTTATTGCAGGAAATAAAAAAAACCCAAACACATTGGGATAAAACTTCCATTTGGCATAGATTAAAGTAAAATCTGTAAGCAGTAATTCTTATTATACCATGTGGTATTATTATATAATGGCCACCCCTGGAAGGAGGAACATACTAATCAGATCAAGTACTATATTTAAACTATATTTAATATCGTTCTATATTTAAACCTTGGGGCGTTATTCTTTGTCAGGTCTTCCACTGACAGTTTGAAGGTAAACTTAACTGTTTTTATTCATATATCCCATCCATGCCCTGCTTAACCTGTAAATCTCTCATATCATTCCTCGTCAGATACAATCACAATCAGTTCTGCCCCCAGGCAATAACAAAGCCCATCCATGGGACCAAAGGCAGCGCACATCACTCGTGCCCCCGTATCTAAATGTGTCTCTGATTCAGCTGCTGGCAGAGGATTTGCATCCATCCACATAACCCAGGGCTGCAGAAGTCCCTGGGGCTCTGATCACAACTCATCATATATTCAGGAAACTAAAAGATAGCCCAAAAGTACGTCTCTAATTATGTGTTGCCTCACTACCTTAAGTTTATGTCAGGCCTTGATGTTTCTCTGTTGATCTTTCTAAGTGAGCTTCCTGGTTCTTTTTAATGAATTAGCTATGGAAAATCACTGAGATAATTATAGTAATACATGGAAACACATCATTAGCACATGCAATTATCCCATTTACCAACCTAATTATGCTGTGTTATATTCAGTAATTTTTTTTTTTTTTTTTTTACTAACAGCACATGTTGAAATATGCCTTTTTAAAATAGCAACGTATATTTTAAAGATCAATGTATATTTTAGCTTATAAGCATGCCAGACTGTTTAATCACAGCTAATTTGTTTTCAATAAAGATAAATTTTCTTTTGAAACAATATTTTGCAATTCAGCATTATTCTTTTAATCTCAACACTTAAATACATTCATTACGGTCTGTTTGCTCCAAACAAGAGTCACAGTATCTTCATACGGGCATAAAAATAACTGTTTTAAGGGACTGCATTTCAAATGACTGTATTTATTTCAATATGTAACAACTTCTTCCATTTTTATGAAATAAATGAGAAACTTCTACTGATATTAACGGACAGAGTTTAGGTCTATTTTACAAGATCAAAGAGAATTCTTTGTTATTTGTAAAAAAATGTTGTACGAACAGTAACAATGAACTTCAGGCAATACAGCACAGGGGTATCAAAACAACTCATGTTCTGAATTGTTTATAAATTGAAAGAGATTTTAGATGCAGTTCAAGAATTTTCATATCCAACCCACATCCCATTTTCAAAATGATCCTGGAAAGGTACAGAGCATACAAAAATTGTGAGACATTCAACTACCCCAGTTATTAGTTCTATTATATCTGAACAGTGTCTGAATATAGTTATCTAGGATTATGGAGTTCCATACTTTGGTTAATGCTTCCCTCATGCACGCCGTTAAATTTTTCTTCAAAAATAAAACCATTTCTATATTCTTACCTAAAATATCCAGTCCAAGAGTTTTTGCTAGATCTCTTACACCGTCAGCTCCAAAAATGTGTGTCTCATGTTTACATTTGGGACACTGGAAAACACTCATATTTTGAACCAGTCCCAAAACCTGTTTAAGTAAAAGAAATAAAGACAATAAAGAAGAGATTATCAAGAAAGAATCGACAGAATACTTATTTATAATGGGATTCAGCAGTAATATCAGACTCATTAACATCATTATTAGCTCTCACTAGTTGTCTCAATTACATTATTATTTGCACGTTATTTCAAGTTCTTCACATTATACCTCTCAAAGATGAGCAAATTTATTTGTAACAAAAAGTACCTCTTGTACAGGCCTATCTTTCCAAGAACTCCCCCTGCCACTATTAATTTTCAAACTGTGAATAACGGAAGAATTTTCATGTTGTGTTTTATAGCTCTGTAATTTGCAGTTTCAGAAAACAAAAAATAAAAATATATCATTACAAGAAATTACATAATCAGACATGGTTTTAAGATATTTTTGTAAGTTATCCTGCAGGGAAATGTTTTCAAAAAGAACCAGGTTTGCTATTCTTCTGAAGAGCAGAAACATATTTTGAAGACCAAACAAAAGAAATAATTATGTGAAACTAAGTGGCAAAAAACACAGCACAAAAATCTAACACACATATTAGGCACCTTTCTGTTGATGCCATGTGTTCAACAGCATCCTTGCAAAATATGTCAAATCAAAATCTGCCAAGTCATGCACACAAATATCTTCTTTCACAGTGTAGAATAATGTTAATGATAGCATGGATCTTGTTTTATTCACCTAGTAAACAAAACGGTTCATTGAAGCAAATCTGAATTTCTCCGAAGTGATATAAACAGCATTCAACACTACAGAGTAAAAAGCTTCTACCCTTGTGCTAGGGCTCTAGAAGGTAGGGAGGTCCTTGAGAGCCAGTTATTCAAGCATCACTTCTCCAAGCTCAACACCAGTGCATCCTTACAACTAGGAAATCAAAGGAGACAGGAGACCTGCATGGATGAGCAAAGAGCTTCTGAAAAGCCTCAAATGGAAGGAAGAAGTCTACAGATTGTGGAAAAAGGGATTGGCCACCCAGTTCTATATTCCTCCCAGTGGTCTCCCACTTGGGGAGGAATATAGAAATGTTGTCAGAGTATGCAGGGATGCAAGGAGGAAGGCTAAGGCCCTCTTGGAATTTAATATGGCAAGGGATGTCAATGACAACAAGAAGGGCTTCATCAGCCCAAAAGGAAGACGAGGGAAAATGTGGATCCACTGCTGAATGAGTTGGGTGCCCTGGTGATGGAGGATACGGTGAAAACAGAGTTACTGGACGCCTGCCTTGCCTCAGTTTTCACTGCTAAAGCCAGCCCTCAGGAACACCGGACCCTGAAGAGAGAAAGTCTGCAGAAAGGAATACTTCCCCTTGGTTGAGGAGGATCGGGTTAGAGATCAGTTAGGCAAGCTGGACCTCACAAATCCATGGGCCCCGATGGGATGCACCTACAAGTGCTGCCGAAGCTGGCACACATTATTGCTAGGCCACTCTCCATCCTCTTCATACGTTTATGGAGAAGAAATGCTGGAGGACTGGAGGAGAGCCCATGTCACTGCAGTCTTCAAAAAACGCAATAAGAAGGACCCAGAAAACTACAGACTAGTCAGGAAATCATGCTTGGCCAACAGAAAAGCTTTCTATAATGGCACGTCTGGCTGGGCAGATGACAGGGAGAGCAGTGGGTGTTGTCTATCTTGACTTCAGCAAGGCTTTTGACACTGTCTCCCATAACATCCTCATAGGGAAGCTTAGGAAGAGTGGTTTAGATGAGCAGAAAGTAAGGTGGATTAAGAACTGGCTGAGCAACAGAGCTTAGAGGGTTGTGATGACTGGTGCAGCATCTGTCAGAGGCCTGTAGCTAGTGATGTTCTCCAGAGGTCAGTACTGGATCCAGACTTGCTCAAGTTCTTCATCAGTTACCTGGATGAAGGGACAGACTGTACCCTCAGCAAGTTTGCCGATGATACAACACTGGAGGGAGTGGCTTACACACCAGAAGACTGTGCTGCCATTCAGTGAGACCTAGACAGGCTGGAGGACTGTGCAGAGGGGAGCCTAATGAAGTTCAACAAGGGCACGTGTAGGGTCCTGCACCTAGGAAGGAACAAACCCAGCCGCCAATACTGGTTAGGGGCTGACCTGCTGGAAAGCAGGTCTGCTGAGAAGGACCTGGAAGTCCTGGTGGACAAGAAGTTAACTGTGAGCCAGCAGCGTGCTCTTATAACCAAGAAGGCAAATAGTATCCTGGGGTGCATGAAGAAGAATTTGCCAACAGGTTCAAGGAGGTTCTCTTCCCCATCTGCCTTAGGCCACATCTGCAGCATTGTATCTAGTTCTGGGCTCCCCAGCTCAAGAGAGACAGGGAACTACTGAAGAGAGTCCAACAAAGAGCTACAAAGATGATTACACGACTGGAGCATCTATCTTATAAAGAACCTGGGTCTGTTTAGCCTGGAGAAGACAAGACTGAGAAGGGATCTTATCAAGCCTTATAAATATCTAAAGAGGGGGGGGTGTCAAGATGATGAGGCCAGTCTCTTTCCACTGGTGCTCAACAACAGGACAATGGACACAGACTGGAACACAGGAAGTTTTACACAAACACAAGGACAAACCTCTTTGCTGTGGGGGTGACAGAGCACTGGAGCAGGCTGCCCAGAGAGGCTGTGGAGTCTCCTTCTCTGGGGACTTTCAGAACCCACCTGGATGTGAACCTGTGCAAGCTGGTTTATGTGAAACTGCTTTCGCATGGGTCTTGGACTAGATGTCCAGAGGTCCCTTCCAACCCTTACCATTCTGTGATCTGTTAATCAACAGAAGACCTGCTTTAAGAAGTTTCACATTACAATGCTTCACTTCAAGATTTGAATCTAATCTAAAAATGGCACACACTACAGGCAAGTTTTAAAAATATTAATACATATTTTCAAGTACAAAAAGCTGTTGTTTACTTTGTAGTCTTTTGTACTTTGAAATTTCCCTGAGCATTCTAGGTTTGTGATTGAACAAGCTGGCCTATTTATTAAAGGAGCAACATATTCACTGTGCAAACAAAGCATATCTGAAAGGATAAACAAGTGTTCAGTGCAAGCAACAAATATTAAGTTATTTACAGTGAATGTACAACTTTTTACAGCAAAACTGAAAATAAAAAATTGATATTTACAATATATTAATCAAATTTTCCTTAGATATAAGACAAAAATGATCAAAATATTATCACTTTTTTTTTCTAAACCATCATAATAATATCTTTCACACTATTTTCTAAGTCTTCCTTTACTTACGTAAAACTTTCAGAGAGCTTTAACTAGGATAACAGAAAGCCATTTTCTGCAGCACAGGAAAAAGAGAGAACTTGACATTTATACTTTAAATTAATTAATTCATCTTCAGATATCTTGGGGTTTGAACTTTCTGTTCTCCTCAAAGTAGTCATACAACATTTATGATTCAGCAAATTCACAAGCAAAGAAAAAGTTATGTAGTCTGCTATTGTTTTATTGTTTTTATTGGTTTTTTTTATTTTTAACTTAAGGATATTAAAGCCGATTTGTTGCTTCTTTGATAACCTAGTGAGTGTCCTCCTGCCACAGCTAACGCCAATGCTGAGATAAAGCTGGATCCCCAGTGCTTTATCCGTTTTAGAGCTCTTATTCACTGTTCTTTTTTGTTTTCAACAAATCTTACTAAAAGCAAATGAAATTTCAGTGTTTCACAATTTTATTTTTTTTTCAGTTTTTTCTGTCAGCAAATGAGTAGTGCACATTTATTAATATATAAATTATTATTCTGGAATATGAAGATTTTTTTAATATTAAGTTGCCAATTATAATCACCTAGTTTAATATAGAATCTGTCTAAATCAACAACTTTAGTACTGAAGTGTATTTTTAACATGCATATTTCTGCAGATGTATTTACAGAAGGAAGGGAGTTCACTATGATCTTCAAAGCTTTCAAATATACAAAGTAATAGGTCTTGCTAATGAAGTCAGCAATAACTCACATTTCTTTGCTCAAATAATACATCTGGAATAGCTTCAAAGCAGCTGTTAATGCCTACACCAACCACCCCGTAAGGACGTGAATCCTGTTGCAGCGCTCAGTGAGCTCCTCTCCATGCATGCTTGCTTCTCAGCAAACGTGGCTCAGTAACCACAGGAAAATTACTGTGACGAGCTGCACCACGACGCAGGATCTAACCCATGGTAGTGGAGGAAAGGATTATGTACAGAACTGAATTTCATTTAGTCCAATTGTTCTTTTTAACCATGAAAAAAAGGCACCTACCAAGAAATACCTGGAATTGAAAAAACTCTTCATTATGCACTGTCTGTACACATGCTGTTTCTGAGTGTCTTCTTATTTCTTATCTCAAATTAACCCTTTCGTTACACAACAAATCATGCCAAAACCCAAATATACTACAAGTTAAAGACAATTTGGTGAGTATAATGGAAGCAAGGCTTCTGTCTCTATCTTATTTTCCTTTCTCATTTTGCTCTGTGGAGGAAGGAAAGGAAAGAGGGAGTGTGATAGAGCTGCTTGGTGGGCATCACTGGCTCAGCCAGGCTTAAACCACCACATTCTTGATTTTCTTCACAAATGACAAATGCTACCATACTTTAATTTTAGTCCAAACATGTTTCAGGAATAGCTAATAATAAGGAATTTATCAGTTTACTTCTTTTATTAAGCTATTCTGTAAATTAAAAGAAAAAAGGGAAGACACTTCAATGTTTCTGTTGCATTTTTTAAATTAATAAACCATTAGCTACGAAATTTCCTTTCTTGATAGAAAGTAAACCTCATGCAGGGAAGTAAGAAAACACTATTTTTAAAGTATAGTAAATGGCTTTTTTCTTTACTGTTTAAGAAAGCATTTCAGTTTGTATTTTCTCAACCGCGCATTTCCAATGAAAAATTAATCTCTTCATGAACACGCTCTTGAGTATAACATTCAGTTAATTAGCAACTTGTAGTGCACGCAGAAAACACTGAGTCAAAGATGTCATCCTGTTTAATATTTTCTCCCAATCCATATGAA